CGACTGTTAATCACAAGCTTCAGCTGCTGCTGCTGCTGCTGCTGCTGCTGCTGCTGCTGCTGCTGCTGCTGCTGCTGCTGCTGCTGCTGCTGCTGCTGCTGCTGCTGCTGGCTGCTGCTGCTGCTGCTGCTGCTGCTGCTGCTGCTGCTGCTGCTGCTGCTGCTGCTGCTGCTGCTGCTGCTGCTGCTGCTGCTGCTGCTGCTGCTGCTGCTGCTGCTGCTGCTGCTGCTGCTGCTGCTGCTGCTGCTGCTGCTGCTGCTGCTGCTGCTGCTGCTGCTGCTGCTGCTGCTGCTGCTGCTGCTGCTGCTGCTGCCGCTGCTGCTGCTGCTGCTGCTGCTGTGTTTAGGTGGCATGATGCGTGTGTGGGGAAAGAGCCCGAGGGTCGCGCGTAGAGCCCTTAATGTTCGCAGAGTGTTTGCTGCTGCTGCAGCTGCGTGGCTTTTCAGCTGCTTTGGCCTTGTGTTCCTGCTGCAGAGCCCGGCTAACCAGCGAAGAGGGGGTGGCCCCTGTAGCGCTGTCGGACAACATGATGGTGGAGGAGGCGTTTGGGTCTTTGGGCCTCTTCTGCGTGGAGGATCTCGTGCACGAAGTTGTCACCTGCGGGCCCCACTTCCCCCAAGTCATGCAGCGCGTGGGGTGAGCCAGCGCTGCAGCCCCTGAGGCTGAGGCCCAGGCTGGTGGCTATAGGCCAGGCTAGTGGCTATAGGCTAGGGTGGCTTCTGTAGGCCAGGCTGGTGGCTATAAGGCGTAGCTGGGAAACCAGGCCTGGCTGCTGCACCCACAGCAGGTAGCTGGGGCCCAGCGCAGGGCTTGGGGGCTTGTGGTGGGCTGAGAGGCCTTTTAAGTGGCAAAGGGACTGCAGTTTGTCACCCAGCTGTCGCCTAGGACCCAGTGAAATAGGCTAAAGAGTGATACGGGGAACAGCACGAAAAGCTACTTTAGCATGGAGCGGCATGAGACAGATAGCGTTGCTGTAAAGGAAGCCCTTGGGGTGCCTTGTGCGTCTTTTGCTGCAGACACTTTCAGCTGGAGAGCCTCAAGCAAGTTGAAGAGTAAGATGCCGGGTTCCCTGCTTTTATTCTCTCTTTCATTTTTCGCTGCATTTCTCTGCGCTGCTGGCCCCGCACCTGTTTGGTATTTAACTTTCCTTGGGCCCCATAGGAACTCCCCTGTTTCCATCATCTTGCTTCATTTTGCTTGGCTAGTGTGCTGCTGTTGGCCCGCAGACTGGAGGCAAAGCGAATGGAGTATGGATACATTCGGAACAAGATCGACATGAAGGTCGCTCAGCTGGCATGAGCTATTCGGCTACGGGCCCGCACAGCGCAGTACGTACAACTGGCTGTCTGCGTTGGGTGTACACACAGCGCACATGGATCTACAACTGTGCGCGGGCCCTCTTATCCAGTCCCTTCTCTTTTAGCTGTTGGCCAGCAGGGCTCAGTGGCTTGGTTGGGGAACTACGAGACAACTATATTGTGGAGGATGCAAGCAAAGACACAAACGTACTTTATTTTCCAGCTGGGCTGTGATGGCCATTTGCTGTGCACTCGCAGCCCACAGCACGTACAAACCACGACTAGCGAGGGCCAGAGTGTTAGGTAGAAAGAACGCAAGGGTTGCTCCTGCACTGAAAAACTGGGCTTTGTGCTAGTTAGGCAAGTGCCGCTGCGCCCTAAGCTGAGACAGCCGGCTCCTACTGAACAACTATCATCCCATGGTCCTGCAGCAAAGCCCTGCATAGAAGAGTAACTCCAGCTAGCTTCGTTTGGAAGGCTGCTGCTAGCTGCTGGCAGCAGAAAGAGTGGCTAGTAATGAATGCGAAGGATTTATCCTAGAAGGGATGCCTTGTCTAGCTGCGAGCTCTCTGGGGCCACGCAAACGAAACCGCTGAGACCTTAAAATGGAAAATCAAGAAACAAGGGAAACGCATCCAGAAGATAGAGGACTATGCTAACGGCAAGCTAGCCAGCGAGAGGCTAGCTAGCCAGTGCAGGCCACGGTGCTACGCTGGGCTGGCTAGCAAGAGTAGTCTTGTAGCAGCCTGACTTCAGGTGTGGAGACGAGCTTAGGAAGGACCAGCACCTCCCTCCCAGCTGTTAGGGACTCGCCCCCGTGAAGAGGCACCCAGGGGCTGGCCTCTGGGCTGCTGCAGGCGTTAGCAGCGGCGCCCCTATTCCCCGCTGCAGCTAGGGGGCCCCTAATAAGAGCCGAAGCGGCAGCAGCAGAGGGCCCTGGGGGCCCACCCCACGCCCCGAGGCCCTCACAGGCCCCCCCTGGGGGGGCCCGCCTATATAACAGCCTCACAAAAGGAAGGCAAAGAGACCCCGCCCTTAGGGGAATGGCAGAGAAGGACACGTTGGTGCTTCTGCCTCCTTCTAATAAGACGGCTCTGCACTTCGAGCCCGCCTGCAGGATCAGCAGCAGCAGCAGCAGCAGCAATGCAAGACACTTTTGTGGCCGCCACTTACACAACAAACAAACAGCAAACTTGAGACCCGGGCCAAGCCCCACAGATCCTACAGCGACACAGCAAACCTAGCACCTCTTCACAGGGGCCAAAGATGACGCAAAAAAGAACATTTTATCACACGTTTCCGTTCAACTTGAGATGATTCGGCTGCCTCCTCCAGCCTCTCTACCCTCACCATTAGCCAGTCGTGGCACTCTCCGACTCGAGGTGACTTTGCAGGAGTTTGGGTGCCCCCCGAGGCCCTCTGCCTTCGCTTTTCCAGGGCTCCGGGGGTCCCCGGGGGCCCCCCACGGACTTGGCTGCCCGGCGGGTCTTGGCGGTCAAACTCTAGGCACACTCTGTGGCATATTTCCATCGCCTCCTGCAGTCACAAACCAGCAAAGGCATGCGGATCGCAGCAGAGCACACGGTCATTTGCGCTTTGCTGCTGCAGCCGCAACTGCTGGTGCTGCATTCGCCTGGCCGCTGCTGCTGCT